ACTGGGACTGCAGCATGCGCTACCACGCCCGGCTAAGTTTTTGTATTTTTAGTAGAGACGGGGTTTCACTGTATTAGCCAGGGTGGTCTCGATCTCCTGACCTCGTGATCCGTCCGCCTTGGCCTCCCAAAGTGCTGGGATTACAGGTGTGAGCCACTGCGCTCGGCCAACCCAAACGATCTTTACACAAAAAACAAAAAACAAAAACCACCAAACCTGGTGGACTCAGGACTCACACTTCCTGATTTCAAAACTTACTGCAAAGATATAGCAATCAAAACAATGTGGTATCAGCATGACATACAGACAAATGGAACAGAACAGAAAGCCCAAAAATGAAACTTCAGATATATGGTCAAACGATTTTTGACAAGGATGGCAAGATCCTTCAATAGGGAAAGGGCAGTCTTTTTAACAAATGGTACTGGGACAACTGAATATCCACATGCAAAAGAATGAAGCTGCACCCTTACCTAACACCATATTTTAAAATGAACTAAAAAATGGATTACTGACCTAAATGTAAGCAAAGAACAAAACTCTTCGAAGAAAACAGAGGGCAAAAGCTTCACAACGTTGGATTTGGCAATGATTTACTGGATGTAACGCCAAAGGCACAGGCAACAAAGAACAGACAAATCGTACTGCATCAAAAACTGTTAACCGCTGTGCATCAACAGACACTATCAACAGAGTCAAAAGTCAAGCCACAGAATGGGAGAAAATGCTTGCAAATCATCTATCTGATAACGGACAAATATCCGGAATACAGAGACAACTAAAATGCAACAGCAATAACAAACCTGATCCACACACGAGCAAAGGACTTGAGCAGACGTTTCTCCAAAGAAGATATACGAACAGTCAGTGAGCACATGAAAAGATGCCAACATCACTAAACACTAAGGAAATGCAAATCAAAACTACGATGTGTCTACGGTCATTTACACAAGAAAAAAAGCCCTACAATGTGATACCACCTTACATCCATGAGGATGGTTACTATTAAAAAAGCAAAACTGAAAATAACAAGTGATAATGAGGATGTGGAGAAACCGAAACCCTTGTGCACTGTTGGTGGGAATGTAAAATGGTGCAGCCACCGTAGGAAATGGTGGCAGTTCCTCCAAAAATTACAACTACAATTACCATACGATCTATAAATTCCACTTCTGGGTACACACCCCAAACAACTGAAAGCAGGGTCCTGAAATATTTGCACACTTATGTTTGCAGCAGCACTGCTCATAGTAGCTACTGTATGGAAACAACTCAAGTGTTCACTGATAGAGATGCAAAATAGGGTACAGCCATATGATGAGTATTGTTTAGCCTTAAAAAGGAAGGAGATTCTGCAATATGCGACAACATGAATAAATGCTGAGGACATTAAGTGAAATGAAATAAGCCAGTCACAAAAAGAGAAATACTGTACAATTCTATGTACATGAGGTACTTAGAATAGTCACAATCATAAAGACATAAAGTAGAATGATCGATGCCCAGGGTTGGGGGAAACTAGAGTTATTGTTTAGTGGGCAAAAACCTCCAGTTTTACAAGATGAAAAGAGTTATGGAGACGGACCACTGAATTCTACACTTAAAAATGGTTAAGATTGTAAATTTTATATTATGCATATGTTACTATAATAAATCTTTTCAAAAAGTAAAGCAATGAAGGAAGATATACCATGCTAACACTAACCAAAAGAAAGCTGGAGGAGCTATATTAATTTCAGGCAGAGCAGACTTCAGAGCAAGGGAAGTTACCAGTGGTAATGAGGAGCATTACATAATGATAAAGGGTCAATTCTCCTAGAAGACATAACAATCCTCAATGTGTGTGCTGCTAATAACAAAGCATCAAACTTTGTAGGGCAAAACCTGATAGAACTGTGCAAGGAGAAACCGATGAATCCATTATTACAATGGAAGTCTTCAAGAGCCATCAATCAGAATGAACAGATCCAGCAGACAGAAAATCAGTCAGAACATAGTTGCTGACGGACAGAACTCAAGAGCACCATCAATCAATTGGACATAACGAACATCTGAAGACCACTTCATCCAACAACGGCAGAACACATATTCCTCTGAAGCTCACATAGAACATTCACCAAGACAGACCACGTTCTGGGCCATAAAACATACCTTAATAAACTCAAAAAAACAGAAATTATACACTGTATGCTTTCAGATCACAATGGAATTAAAGTAGAAAACAGTAACAAAAAGATAGTCGGGAGATCCCCAAATATTTGGAAATTAAATGCTCTGGCACTTACAGTTTTTATTTTATGTAGTATTTCATTACTGTATTTTTCTCAGCAATTACTTTGAACTTTCAAATAACTTATACTCAATATATAAATTCAATATGTCACTGGTATGAAGACACTTCAAAATAGAAATTAGTCTTCAAGTCTTTCTAATTTCAAGAATTTTTTTTTTTTTTTTTGTAGAGACAGGACTATGTTGCCCTGGTCTTGAGCTCCCAGGCTCAAGCAATCCTCTCACCTCAGCCTCCCAAAGCGCTGGGATTACAGGCGTGAGCCACTACAACTGGCCAGAAAATAAATTTTTCATAGTACTCATGCTAAACATTTTAGGTACTACATATTTACCCACAATGCCAAAAATATGAATTAAAAGAATTACAACTACAATGACATAACGTCTTAAAAGGCAACAACTGTGACTGCAGCACAGCAGGAACTCCCCAAGGCCTCAACAATGCAAAAGTGATGGCAGACACAGTGGCAGGTCAGAAGCACACAAGGCCCCCTCCATGTTAAGCACCCACCTTCTGCCTCCCTACATTCAGAACTTCTTACCCAACAATCCTCCTGTTGATTATCTCTAAGAAACTTCCTCCAATATCACTGAAATGCATGCTTTTCTGATACAGCTCGTTTGCTTTCTGAAACATCCTCCAATGTCACTGAAATCTGTGCTATTCTGATACAGCTCATTTGCTTCTTAAGCTGTCCACAACTCGCTGGTGGACCAGGAGACCCCTTCAGGGCTGCTAATGCATTATGCATTTAGGCACAGATGTGGTCACAGCATCCAACTAAGTCAAACTAAGTCAAATAACACAAACTAATCTTGTAAGACCTGGTAAGTGACAATTCAAGTTTGTTTATAGTAATGAACATTTTCATACCAGATGCAAATGAAATATTTTGATAATTGTATCTTATGTTTCCACATAATAAGGGCCACCACATAACATATTTTAAATGAATCAGTGAATAGTCTTCAGTTGACAAAAGTGGTAGAAATAACATTTAGTTATAAATTTCTAAATTTCTATACGACTTCTACCGCATATGGCTTGACCGCCATAATTGCTTTTCTATCCATATTTGCTTTTCTATTCTAATCTTTCTATATGATTACAGTTTAACAGGTATCAAAAGAACAAATAATAGATACAAATGATGCTCCTAAAATGTTTTTCTTCTTTTACCCATATATAGATCTCTAATTTCCTGATAAAAGGCCAAAAGCCAGGGAAAAATAATCAATTTTTAACCAAAGGGGCCCCACAGTCTTTAATAATAATCAATTTTACTATTTTACTTGAGTATTTTTAGGAACTAAGTCTTGAATAGCTTCCACCAGCAAAAATATATAACAGAATATTATCTTTTCTTGGAACTAGGTAACAGACCTCTATTCAGGCAATAGCAAGGAGTGAAAAACTTCCTAACTTTACACATACACCCAGAGAAAATCAGGCTACAAACCAGGTGGGCCATGAAGACAGCCTAGTTCTGACTATGTACCTGAAAAATGCTATTAAAAAGCATTCTATTATTAAGACATCATTAAATGTTCAAACTGAGCAATATTCAATCTAACAAAATTTAAGCAAGAATTTGGATGGTTGTGTCAAGTAATTACAATAGATGTGACAAACTTATTACACTCTATTCTAAACCTGTGTCTGTTAATCTTCCATCTGCACCTCTCCCTAGCAAACAGACAACAAAGCTCACTTATGGGCTACATGTACCCCACTTCACAGTGACCCCTGGAGGGGAGAAAACACACGTGTTTGGAAAAAATCATTCCATGTCATGTCCTCCTCCCTTTCTGTTCCAGCTTAAAATCATTGTTTTAAATAATAAATTAGAGTTTGAAATAAATTATATTTTTGATTGATCAGAGCTACCTTTGGACAAGAATAACTGGTACAAAGAAAAAAAAGAAAACAATCAGAATTACAATGAGTCATTCTAGTAAAGGTAAGCTCAAAATAACTAGAGAGCTATCTAAGGTCCAAAGAATGAAACCAGCCTAAAAATTTCACTGTAACGGCTAAGATACTAAGTAAACACATGAGGTTCTCTTAGAAGAAATGCATAAAAATCAACTTATTTCTAGATCCTCACTCCACTTCCTGAATGGGCTCTTCACACTGGGTTTCTGGCAGCTTCTCCTGTCTGTACCCTCCCCTCCCCAGTGCTCTATAACCTGCAGGGCGTTATAATTTTCTGTGGCATCACGCTTAGGGCTCCTCCTGTATTTAGGTTTGTGTATTTCTAAATGCTAAAGAAGCATAGTCATTTTAGACCCTGTGGAGTCCAGCCAGTGTTAGAGGACTCATGTTATATTCACATTATTTTACCTATCACGTTAAGAAAAAGAGCAAGCCCTGGAAGATCACAAGCAGATAACTGGTCTTCTGTGGAAGTATTCCTTAGGTCTAACCTGTTAGAAGTATCACCTGAAAAATCCTTCTGTTCTATTTAATTCTGAATAAAAGGACTATGATCTTCACAGTTGTTGTTAATGATTGTTACAACTGTAAAGGTTCAAAATTACAGGGTTTAAGAGATTATGGTGAAAGGAAACCCTTGCAGACCTTCCTACTGAGAGCAGATCCTATCCTACGCAAGTTGCTAATTCATAGATTTCTGTTTGTTTGACTACGTACTCCTGCAAGATCTCAGGGAAGAGTGAGCTTTCAGACCCTTTTTGCCCTGACTTACCTTACTGTGTGTGAAGGGGGGCGTTGCATACAAGGTGGGGTGGATGAGCGGGCGTGGCAGGTGTGGAACAGTGTGCAAAGGCACGTGTCCATGGATGTGAGGGTAAAGGTGCAGTGCAGGGTGTGTGGGCTTCTCTGGGCTCATGAACTGATGGCCAGGAGGAAGGGCTCCGGCTGTCATTGCAGATGGTGTCAGTCCAGAAGCTTCTTGTTTACAAACATGACATTCACAAGTGTTTGGAGCTTGTTCAGCCTAAGAGGAAAGAAAAAAAAAACCTATTTAGTGAAACAATAAATGGTATGAATTAAAGTCAGTCACATTCTGCCAAGTAGTTACAAAGCAAATACAAAGGTAAGTGGGCTTTTCCTGACACCCTGAGTTGACCAGGGCCTTCCATGCAAGGAAAAGGAGGGACCCCAAGAGACTGGGACTGAAGAAGCTGCACAGAGAGGAAAGGTGTACCTCATTCCACAGACAGACTCAGGTAGAGCCACTGGTTCTGCATCCTATGCCTAGTGCAGAAAATTTCACTTCCCACATGTGAACAGGGACAAGGGAACTGGTGAAGACGACAGAGTAGAGAGGGGACGGCCGTGCTCCACTGGGCTCACACTGCTTCTAAATGGTTACACACAGATTCTCCAAAACAAAGCAGAGATGTGACTTCCGGTTATGGATATGGTGGAGTGAAGAGGTCAGTGGCTCCTTTCCCTCAGGGCAAATGTAAAACTGAACACAATTGTCAAAGGCAACCATTCTGAGGCTCTGGAAATCAGCCCAAGGAAAATACTGAGACACATCTATTCATGTAAATCAGCTAGAACTTCAGGGAAGAACAGCAAGTCGCCAGACTTTCTTGTCTGGGACCCTTTCCATGTCCTGCACCTGTACTCCGCCCCTGACTCAGTCTGCATCGGGCACAGGAGTTCTGTGACTGCAGGGATGCCAGTGCAAACCAACCCTGCTGCCAAAAACAGCAGCCTGGTCAGGCAGAGGGTGAAGCAGTAAAAGCAGTGAACTCAGAAGGGAATAAATAGGGAAGCCTGCAGCTCTGTTCCCGTGAGACTGAGGTCCCAGTTGGGGTGAGTGGCAGAGGAGACAGAAATCTAATAGGGAGAACCCTGGAAATGAGAGCGCCACAGAAGGGCTTCTTAAACTGTCCACAACTCGCCGGCTGACCGGGAAAGCACACACTGAGGACACCTCAGGGGCTGAAGGAAGGCGCCAACAAGGGCTTGAGAACTGGCTGTGAGCGCTGAGCGCATTCACCCCACAGCTGACAGTGCCTCAACCAACAGTGGAGCCCCTGTGGATTCAAGGTGCATGGGCAACCCCCGCCCAAATCATCAGCTGGCCAATCAGCCAGGTGGACAAAGGGCAGACCTCTCGAAGCCAAGCTAAAAAGCAGAAGAGAAGATGTGAGCTGAGATATCCATAGCCACATAATGTGGGAGATACAGATCCTGCAACTGAACTGCAGGAAATAACAAAAACAAAGAAACAAACAAAAGACAACAAAAGACCCTCAAAGGAAAAACTGATAATGCAAAGTCATTACATTATTTAAAATGTCCAGTTTTCAACAAAAAATTATGAGACAAGCAAAGATAAAAGTATGACCTAGGCCGGGCGCAGTGGCTCATGCCTATAATCCCAACACTCTGGGAGGCAGAAGTGGGCAGATTACTTGAGCCCACGCGTTCAAGACCAGACTGGGCAATATGGCAAAATCCTATCTCTACAAAAAGTACAAAAACTACCCAGGCATGGTGGTGTGTGCCTGTAGTCCCAGCTACTTGGGGTGCTGAGGTGGGAGGACTGTTTGAGCCCAGGAGGTCGAGGCTCAAGGCTCCAGTGAGCTGTAATCATGCCACTGCACTTCAGCCTGGGTGACAGAGCAAGACCTTGTCTGGAAAAAAAAGTTATGTGACCAATAAGCAGGAAGTAAATAGTCAAACGGTTAACAGGAGTGGGTTCAGATATTAAATTAGCACACAAAGATGTCAAAGTAGCTGTTATAACATGTTCAGAGAATTAAAGGAAAATATGAAAATAAAGATTCAACATGTAGGGAATTACCATAAAAAAAGAGAAACAAAAAAACAGTAAACTATAAATTCTATAGGTGAAGAGTACAATAGCTAAACCAAAATTTCACTAAAGGGGCTCAAAAGCAAACTTAAAAGCAGAAAAATCATCTGTGAACTTGAAGAAGAGCAATGGAACTGATCTAACAACAGAGAGAAGAGACAAGGGGAAAGTATGCAGATGCTCAGAGGCCCGTGGAGAGCAGCGAACCACTCCAGCACAGGCAGAACCCAGCCCCGAAGGAAATAATAACACCCGGACATTCCACTCCCCAAATGTGATGAGAAACACTGATCTACAGATCCAAGCTCAGTGAACCTTAAGATGGATAAAAACAAAGAGATACTGAGAGCTGCAGAACTCTGGCACACAATGACCACCTAAGGCTTCCTGCAGCCCAAGGCCAAGTCCCTAGGATGACCCCAGACCCTACTAAAACACCTTCTTGAGAAAGCCAGGCTGCCAAGAGAATTGACTGTTCTAACAGTCTGACACCTGATGACTGTAACAAAAGTAACACTCTGGTGTAGAATTTGATAGTGGGGAAGGCTCTGTGTAGGGACACTGAGTATAGGATATCTCTGTACCTTTCACTCAACTTTGTTGTGAATCTAAAGCTACTCCTAAAAACAACCACTCTATTTTTTATTTATTTATTTATTTATTTTTGAGACGGAGTCTCACTTCTTGCCCAGGCTGGAGTACAATGGCGCGATCTTGTCTCGCTGCAACCTCTGCCTCCCGGGTTCAAGTAATTCTCTTGCCTCAGCCTCCCAAGTAGCTGGGATTACAGGCACATGATAGCACACCTCGCTAATTTTTGTATTTTTAGAAGAGATGGGGTTTCACCATGCTGGCCAGGCTAGTCTCGAACTCCTGACCTCAGGTGATCCACTCGCCTCAGCCTCCCAAAGTGCTGGGCGTGAGCCACCCCTGTACCCGGTCTATTTTTTAAAATGAAGGCCAAATAAAGACATTTACACAAAAAGACAGAGAATTAACTGCAAGCAAACTAGTCCTGTAAGACATATTAAAGGAAGGTAAAAACAAGATGGTAACTTAAATTCGGCAGAATTTAAAATGAAGAATGCCAGAAATGACTAGCCAGCTAGCAAATAGAAAATACTGTATAAATACAGGCCAGGCGTGGTAGCTCACGCCTATAATCCCAGCACTTTGGTAGGCCAAGGTGGGTAGGTCACCTGAAGCCAGGAGTTTGAGACCAGCCTGGTCAACATAGCGAAATGTCATCTTTACCAAAAATACAAAAATTAGCCGGGTGCCATGGTGCTCGCCTGTGATCCCAGCTACTCGGGTGGCTGAGGCAGGAGAACTGCTTGAACCTGGGAGGCGAAGGTTGAAGTGAGCCAAGATCGTGCCACTGCATTCTAGCCTGGGCAACAGAGTGTGACTGTCTCAAAACAAAACAAAAACAAAAACAAAAACAAAAAAGAAAAAGAAAGAAAAGAAGGAAGGAAGGAAGGAGGGAAGGAAGGCGGGCAGGTCGGCCAGCCGGCCGGCACTATATAAATGTATTTTTCTCTTTTATTTGCTCTAGAAATTATAAAACTGTATAAAGCAGTAATTAAAACATATTATTGATTTATAACATATACAAATGTAATCATATATAGGACAATAATAGCACAAAGGAGGAAGAAGGAAATGGAGCTACTGTGGAGAAAAGTTTGTATATTTTACTGGAATTAAGTCAGTAGTAACCTGGAGTAGACTGTGATAAATTACGATGCATACTGTGGCCAGGCACGGTGGCTCACACCTGTAATCCCAGCACTTTGGGAGGCTGAGGTAGGCAGATCATTTGAGGCCAGATTGAGACCAGCCTGGCCAACGTGGCAAAACACTGTCTCTACTAAAAATACAAAAATTAGCGGGGTGTGGTGATCCACATCTGTAATCCCAGCTACTTGGGAGGCTGAGGCAGGAGAATTGCTTGAATCCGGGAAGCAGAGGTTGCAGTGAGCGAAGACTGCACCACTGCACTCCAGCCTGGGTGACAGAGCAAGACTCTGTATCAAAAAACAAAAAAAAAGATGCATACTGTGGCCGGGTACAGTGGTTAAGTGTAATCTTAGCACTTTGGGAGTTCCTGACGGGAGAATCACTGGAGGTCAGCAGTTTGAGACAAGCTTGGGCAACACAGGGAGACCCTGTCTCTACTAAAATTAAAAAAATTAGCCGGTCATGGTGGCATACGCCTATAGTCCCAGCTTACTAAGGAGGCTGAGGCAGGAAGACTGCTTGAGCCCAGCAGTTTGAGGCTGCAGTGAGCTCTGACAATGCCACCACATTACAGCCTGTGTAACAGAGCAAGACCCTGTTTCTAAGAAAAAAAGAGACACATGTTGTATTTTAATTTTTGTTTCTTTTTATTTTTTACACCAACATTCACAAGAGATGCATACTGCAACCCTACAGCAGCCGCTAAGAAAATTAAAAAAATAATCAACAAAAGAATTAAAATGGTACACTAAAAATTTTGTTTAATATTTTAAAAGGCAGATATTGACATACACAGGATAAAAACGCAAGACCCAACTAAAAGATGTTAGACAAATTTTAGATCCAAAGATGCAAACAAACTGAAAGTAAAAGGATGGAAAAATACAACATGTACACAGTAACCCAAGAAGGTGGAGTGGCTATATTAACAAATAAAATGGACTTTAAGCAACACTAGTAGACAAACATTTTATAATGATAAAAGGGGCAATACACCAGGGGAGCTATCACAATAATTCAATAACATCACCGCCAAATGCATGAACCAAAACCAGGAAGAACTGAAAGGAGAAGGAAATAATCCAACAGTTCAACTTGAAGGCTTTAATATGCCTCTCTCAGTAACCGATAAAACCACCAGACAGATAATCAGTAAGAATATGTACTATGAACTGAGTATCTGTGCCCCTCCACAATTCCTATGTCGATAGCCAAAGTGCTCCTAAGTGCTGGTATTAGGTGATAAGGACTTTGGAAGGCTCTACTCTCAGGAATGGGATTACTGTCCTCATATGGCAGCCTGAATAGACCAAGACAATAGAGAAGACTTGAACAATGCCATCAACCAACTTGACCAAACTTTCATTTACTGAACACTCCACACAACAAGAGCAAAATAGAAATTATTTTCAAGTACACATAGAACACGGCCTAGGTAAACCATATGTTAGGCCATATACAAGTCTGAATAAATTTGGAAGCTCTAAAATCAGTAATCTAAGCTTTTGTTTCAACAAACTAGAAAAGGAAGAGCAAGCTGAACCCAAAGAACATAAAAAGAAATAATGAATCTCAGAATGGAAACCGACAACACAGAAAACAGAGAAACTGACAAATCTTTAGCCCAAGTGACTGAAGCCATTAAAAGGAAGATAAAATTACCAAAATCAAGAATTAACATCACTGCAGGCACTGCAGAATTAAAAAGGATTACAACAGAATAGAGTAACTTTATGCCAACAAATTAGACAACATAAATGAATAAATTCCTACAAAGACAAAAATTACTGAAATTCACTCAAATAAGAAATAGAGAATTGGAAATGACCTATTCCAAGCATATGAAACTTGAATTAGTAATTACAGATCTTCCCACAAAAAGAGACCAGGCCTATAGGATTTTGCTGGTGAATTCTATCAAATATTTAAGAACGCTCAATCTTAAACTCCTTCAGAAAACAGGTGAAAAAAACATTTTCTAACTCATCCTATGAAGCCAGTATTATTCTGATACCAAAGTCAGACAAAGACAGCACAGAGATAGGAAACTACAGACCAATATATTTTATTAATATTATCACAGATGCAAAAATCCTAACAAAATATTAGTAAACCAACTCAGGAACATATGAAAAGGATTATATACCACCACCAGGTGGGATTTAGCCCAAGGACCACAGGTTGATTTAATATCCTTAAATCAACTGATGTGACACACCACGGTAACAAAATAAAAAACAAAAACCACAGGATTGCAATATATGCAGAAAAGACATTTGAAAAATCAAACAATTCAATATTCAATATAATTCAATACAATTCAATATTCAAATCATGAAAAAACTCAAGAAATTAGGAGTAGAATAGAATTTCCTCAACCCAAAGGGCATCTATGAAAAACCTGCGCCTGATATCGCATTTAAAGAGTGGTCAAAGATTAAATGCTTTTCCCCTAAGACTGGGAACAAGGCAAAGATGTCTGCTTGCAACATTTCTATTCTGTACTAAGTTTCCAGCTAGCTCAAAAAGGCAAGAGTGAGAAATTAAAAGCACTCAGGAGGCTGAGTCAGGAGAATGGCATGAACCCAGGAGGCAGAGCTTGCAGTGAGCTGAGATAGCCCCACTGCAGCCCAGCCTGGGCGACAGAGCGCCACCCGCTCAAAAAAAAAAAAAGAGAAAGAAAAGTATCCAGGCTGGGTGTGGTCCTCACACCGATATCCTAAAGCTTTGGGAGGCGAGATGGGAGATCGCCTGAGGACAGAATCAGACCAGCCGGCAACATGAGTAGACCCTATTCTCACAAAAAAATATTTTTTCTTTTTAAAGCTGGACAGGGTGGCCGCATGGCTGTACTTGAATACACCTGTAGTCCTAGCTACCCAGAAGCTGAGGAGCAAGACTGCTTAGGCTCAGCTATTGGACGCTGCAGGACCATGATTGCAGCAAGTCACTCCAGCCCTGGTCGACAGGGGTGAGATTCGTTCTTTTTTTTTTTGAGACGGAGCTGCTCTGTGCCCAGGCTGGAGTGCAGTGGCCGATCTCGGCTCACTGCAAGCTCCGCCTCCCGGGTTCACGCCATTCCTCTTGCCTCAGCCTCCCTGAGTAGCTTGGTAGACAGGGCGCCGCCACACGCGGCACTCAATTTTGTGATTCTTTAGTAGAGGCGATGCTGTGTCACTAAGTAGGCAGGATGGTCCTCGACTCCTGACTTTGGATCCGCCCGCCTTGGCCTCCCCAAGTGCGGGATGTACAGGCGAGTGAGCCACTGCGCCCGGGCAAGATCTGTTCTTAAAAAAAGAAGAAAGAAAGTAACAAGGATATATCGAATGTTTACGGGATTTTAATAGAAGGTGTAATTTGTGATAGTGGGAGAGGGTATTTTAAATTATTTTATTTATAATTCATTTTGCATCCAGATTTTTGGATTAATGGAAGAATAAATACTAATTTGTCAGATCAACATTTATCTTTGTAGATTTTTTTTTATTTTTTTAATATTTCCAATAGGTAATTTTCGATGTGTGTTTTTTCAAAAATAAACAACTAAGAAATACCAACCTTACTTATAATTTGTAAAGCCAATATTTTAGGTAATGCTGCAGTATACACCAAGATCCAATTATTATTTTATAGTAATAATGCCAATTGTATTTTGTTTTTTTGTTCATTATATTTTTTTTTTTTGATTTTCCTTATAGTGCGGTTCAGTTTGTTAAAATCAATATATAGTATATTATAGAGTTCTCGTTTTTACTGGATGTGGCTGGCTGCTTGTGCCAACATGCCTTTGTTGAATTTCCCACATTATCTTTTTGGGTTGAGCTCGTCGAGACTGTGGGCGGGATTTCTGATTTAGGATTTATCTGAGAATTCGAGGTACCATCTCATTGTGTCTTTATATATCTGGTTTTAATTAATCCCCGTCTCTTATTTCTAAATATATTTACAAAGTAATATCGTAGCTGGTGTTCGATATTGTCGAGCTGCTCTGTAGTTTTTCCCACTTTCGCTGGTATGGGTCGCTAGCGTCATTGGTAGTATATGGTTCTTTAACCTCGGATGGCTTATGCTGGTTCCTCAGTTTGATGCGTAGTTATATAGGCCAGACTGCATTTCC